GGAGTGGGAAAGCTCAGCCTAGCAGCTGCCAGGGGGGGCGGTGGCAGTGTTTGGAGTTTTGAGTTCACTAAGTTTGGCAATCTTTCGGGCTCAGATTACTTTACGTATAATTCTGAAAAAATCAGAGATGTATTGAGTGCTGATCTGTTCGGGGAAAGGTTCGGGGGAAAAAAAAAGAACATTTCTGGATGGCGAAACAAACTCTGGCCGCAAAAGTATGCACGCTTTTGCGGCCTGCTGGGCCTGGTAGGCCCAAAACTTTTTGGCTTGGTGCTCCAGGTCCAGGAAAATCAATAGGAAGAGGAAGAGGAAGAGGAGAAGGCGGAATAAGGAAGAGAGGAGGAAATCGGTAGAGGAAAGAGGGGGACGAGAAGGGGTGGAAGATGGAAGAGAGGAGGAAGAGACCAAAAAAAGGGGAAAAAAACAAAACAAAGGAAGAAAGAAGCAAGAAGAAAAGCTAGTGTGGATACTGGCTCAAGAAGCAAGTAAGAAGGCAGAAGCAGCAATGAGGAGAAAAGGGGGAAGGAGACATGAGGGGGCAAGAAGAAGGAAGAAGGCGGAGAAAGTACCAATGGCCATAGCTCAGTCGGTATACACATGAACTGCTGAAAATAGACCTGAGTTCGAATCCCCTGGAACCAAATCAAGCAATGAGGAGAAAAGAGGGAAGGAGATATGAGGGGGGAAGAAGAAGGAAGAAGGCGGGGTAAGTACCGATGGTCATTGCTCAGTCGGTATATACATGAGCTGTTCAAATATAGACCTGAGTTCAAATCACCTGGAGCCCAGATGAAAAGAGTTCTCCCTTTTCAAGGAAAAGGGAAGGTGGAGAACGGAGATGAATGAAGAAGGGAGGCAAAGAGGAAGAAGAAGGAGGAGAGGGAATGTGGAAATAAGAGGGAGAAAGGAGGAAGAAGCACAAAGAAGAAGAAAGCAAGAAGACAGAAGAACACGAGGGATCCAGTTTGGCAGCAACAAAAGGTTAAAAACCATGTGTGCGTACCCTCGGCCAAAGTTTCGTTTATTGTGATCGTAGTATTTTATACCTTTTCCCCCCCAATCTTTTCTTTTCCTTTCTTTTCTTTTCTTTTTTTTTTTGGATTTTCTATTTGGCCTCCGGGAACCTTACATGGACCTTGTGTGGGTGGGACACCTCATTGGGCACACGGGCGACAAGAGACAGCCTAGGCGGCATGGCTTTTGTCATGTAAAAGGAGAAGGAAAAAACTTAACTGAGTATGTTTGGCTCAAGGTGGTCCTGACTATATTATGCTGCTGGTGTTGTAAATATGCCCCTCTTATGCAGGTGTTATGAATGGGCTCTACTCTGTTTACGGTGAGCTACCCTTCTATGATTTACCTTTCCAACTTAAAGGGGAAAAAAGGCGAAAGAAAGTGGTGGAGACTCCAGAGAGCATTGGTTGTGAATTATCTCCAGCTCCACACTTGTCCACTGCAGGCGGGGCTCAAAATCAGTTCCCAGCTCAACTTCACATTCTCACGTTCGTTTTTGTTCAAAAACGGAAAGTGGCATTCTTTTCTGTCCCTATACACTGCCAAAAAAGAGAGTGGTCCTCGCGTCCTCACGTGACGCCCCCACTGTGCCCACAAAAAATCGTTGGTGCCGCTGGGCCGTTTTGGTTTCGTTGTTTTCCTTTTCAGTGCCCACGGCGGGCGGCGCAGTGTGTTTTGGTTTCGTTGTTTTCCTTTCGTTCTTTTTGCGTGGTGTGCCGGGTGGGGTGTGTTTTGGTTTCGTTGTTTTCCTTTTCGGTGCCCAAGGCGGGTGGCGCGGTGTGTTCCGGTTTTGTTGTTTTCCTTCCGTTCTTTTTGTGTGGTGTGGCAACAAACACCAAACTTGGCACACACACACCTTGACCAAAAATAAAACAGGGCAAAAAAAAAAACAAAAAAAACTGGGAAAAATATCTCCAATGCACTTTTCAGGGTTGGGGGTGTTACCTTGGGGCTGAATAGTGGGGGTCCCTGTTAACCTTTGGTGGTGTTTTGGTTTCGTTATTTTCCTTCTCGGTGTCGAAGGTGGGCGGTGCAGTGTGTTCCGCTTTGTTGTTTTCCTTTCGTTCTTTTTGGTGCACATGTTTGAATACAAGTACATAGCACAATCTGTTCGGGCAAGCAGACACACAGGGGACAGGGCGTCACTCCACCACTGGCGGTGTATGTTTCCATGGTCTAGGGGAAGATTCACTCATTTTTCTTTAGTATTGTTTTCCTTTTCTTTCAGTGCCCCGTTTTTCCCTTTTTATCATAGAAAAAAAGGACAAACGACAAAAAACAAGGCAGTGTATCTTTCCATGTTCTACCAAAAGATCCATTCTCATTTTGCACGTGTTGTTGCATGATCGTGAAAGGCAAGGGGGGACTGGACGAACTCTCGATCCTCACAGAGAGGATGTGACGTGTGATACAGTGGTGGCGGGAAGAGGAAGATAGTGTCCAGGAGAAGGAGGGCCAGGAGGAGGAGCGGGACGAGGAGGGGCAGGGATGAGGAGCGGGAGGAGCGGGAGGAGGAGCAGCGGCAGGGATGAGGAGCGCGAGGAGTGGGAGGAGGAGGAGGGGCAGGGATGAGGAGCGTGAGGAGCGGAAGGGGGAGAAGGCGCAGGGATGAGGAGTGCGAGGAGTGGGAGGGGGAGCAGGGGCAGGATGAGGAGTGGGAAGAGGAGGAGTAGGAAGAGGAGGAGCGGGAAGAGGAGCGGAGGAAGGAAGAGGGGGAGGACGACCAGCGATAGGAGGAGAAGGGGGAAAACGACGAGCGGAAGGAGGACAGTGAACTGAAAGGAGGAGGAGAGTGAACTGGAGGAGCGCCAGGAGGCAGAGGAGGAGGAGGAAGGGGGGGAGGAAGAGGGGGAGGATGACCAGCGACAGGAGAAGGGGGGAAATGACGAGCGTAAGGAGCACCAGGAGGCAGAGTGGGAGGACGGGAGGGTGATTAGAGGGAGGAGGAAAGGAGGTGACGATAAGCGGTCGGTGAAGGAGGAGACAACGAGCTGACGGAGCAGGACAGTGAATGGGAGGAGCACCTGGAGGAGTGGGAGGAGGAGGGGCAGGATGACTAGCGGGAGGAGGCGGCGCAGAAGGAGGGCGGAGACGGCAGATGACGAACAGGAGGACGACGAGCGGAAAGAGTCCACGAGTGGAAGGAGGAGTGAAAGGAGGAGGGGGAAAATTACGAGCGAGAGGAGCAAGATGAGTGGCAGGAGGTGGAATGTGATGAGGGGGGGAAGGACGACGTGCAGGAGGAGGAATGGGAGGAGGAGGAGGAGGAGGAACAGGAGGAACAGGTGGAAGAGGAGGGGGAGCAGGATGAGTAGAATAAGGAACGGGAGAAGAAAGGGCAAGACGGCGAGCGGGAGGAGGGGGACGGTAAACGAGAGGACGAGGCAGAGGGGGGGGAGGACGACGAACAGCAGGAGGAGGTCAATGAACGGGAGGAGGATATTTTTGGTGTCGTTAAGGATAAACTTACACAGCAGCACGCGGTTTTGTTTGCGCAGGGAAAGGAAACCCGTGGTCGAACAAGGGGAGGGTGACGAGCGGGAGGGGGTGGGTGACGAACAGGAAGAGGAAGAGTTTGGGGGGCACACACACACACACACACACACACACACACACACACACACACACAGAGAGAGAGAGAGAGAGAGAGAGAGAGAGAGAGAGAGAGAGTCTTTGAGCCAATCACGATAATCATGCAAGAGTCTGACAACCCTCCTCCCTTGACCACTACCTGCCAATGAAAATGCGATGGTGATTGTTAGCTACACGTACAAAAAAAAAAAGAAAAAAAATGGAAAAAAACGGCAGAACTGCGTGACTGCAGTGTGTTCATTCCACAGCCATTATGACATCGAACACAGTACCCCACAACCCTCACAGAGGACTAGAGACTGTGCAAATAACACATACCACACACACACTCTATGTACATTTTTTTTGTTTTATGGATGATTTGTGGGCGGAATAAGAGGGAGAGTCTGGGGTTCTTAAAACACACACACACACACCGATATATATATACTATGTTGCACGCCTGGCCGCGGCCGGGGGGGGGAAATCGGCCGCGGCCTCGGCCGACGACCACATCGGCCAGGTTCGGCCTCGGCCGACCAGCCAAGTTCGGTGCAGGATTTTTTTTTTCTAACGCATAAAAAAATATAAAAAAATATGGGCGTGTAGGGCTCAAAAAACCCTACACACCCATATTTTTTTGGGGGGCATTGTTGTTTTCTATTGCGGAAAAAAAAAAAAAAACAGAAAAAAA